ATATATGTATATATATATATATGTATATATATATATATGTATATATATTCTTTTAGGTTTCTGACCGCAGAGTCATTGAGACAACAGATGCAGAGAGACGGGCGGTGACCCCAGCAGGGCTGCAGGACGCCATTGACGGTTTAGTGAAGAAGTATAGACAGGCTCGCTCCTTTGTGAGGCCCTCTGGCACCGAGGATGTGGTGAGAGTTTATGCCGAGGCAGAAACCCAGGTAGGAATTCCTATTTTATGAACGTTTTTCTTTTCATTGTAGAGAATTTGAGCTTTCTAAATAACTAGGTTTTGTTTTTGTGCTTTAGGAGAGTGCGGATGCTCTGGCTCATGAGGTCAGCCTTGCTGTGTATAGCCTGGCAGGGGGAGTAGGAGATGAACCTAAACCTCTGAATTAAAACCCGACTCACACACTGTAGCTGCATGAATTTGCCAAATCAACATTTTGGAAGAAATCTTGGTGGGTTTTCATTCTCTAAATATTTTTTTCCAGGGAGGTGCTATTATGTCATAATGTTTAACCGCACTTTTTACTTCATTCCTTTCTTTATAACTGATTCAAAAATAAGCACAACATGGAAAGTGGTGTTGAAAGGGACATGTTAATGTACGGAGGTAGATTTCTGTCATAATAGGTTGCACTACATTGTACATATGGACAGCATGATGAATAGATCAGGTGTTTGAACTTATTTCTAGGGTCTAAGCATCTTTTAACCGGGTTTCTTCTTAACAAATCAAATGTTTACATGTGACTTAAAAAACACAAGTTTTCATAATAAAGTAAAAATAATAAAAGAATGCTTTTGCTTGGTGTTTATTTCGCTATTTTCAAAAACAAGTCAAACACAGTAGGCGACTAAAGAGGCAGAGGAGCTGAGACAACAAAGCACCTGGAGTCAGTAATGCATGTAAAAGGTTAGATCGATGTCCAGTATTTTCTGTAGCGCAGGTTTCTACAACTTTTTAAATTTAGTGAAAGGCGGGGAAACATTGATGTGTCTATTCTTCATCTGTGTCCTCAGCAGCTCCAGAAATGGTGACGGTCCACTGCTGAGTGTCACTCACATAGGTATCCTCTCCCGTTTTAACTGTTCTGAGTAAAAAGTACAAACGTGAATGAAAAGATGGTTGATTTTTATCAATTAGGCTGCATTACTGAGGGCCAGCCTCACAGTTTACCTGATGAGGAGCATCTTCCTCTCAGACTTCTCTGTTGCCTCCTGCTGCAGGTTTCCACCAGCTGGGTTGTCAGTAGAAGCTGCAGCTGTGTCGTTGCTCCCTGTACATGTGTTTTTGGGGCCTTCAAGTTTTAAAGACTCTCCAGGGGGTGTAATTAATGCTAAAGGGTCAGAGGGATTCCTGTTGGTTCCTTGAGGGTCACCTGTCAGAGAGAGCTCCCCAACCATGGTGCTAAGACGGCTGTCCTCACTCTCTATCAGCTTTCTGCAAAACAGTCAGTAATCCTTTGAAACAGAAATTCACAACTGGCATGATAGCCGTCCAGTTGGTCCAGTGTTTCCTTCTGAGACTGATTGTCAAAGGCTTTGGTTACCTGTAGGTGGTTATCTCAATCTCCATTGCCATCTTGGCATTCAGAAGGTCCTGATATTCCCTCATCAGCAGAGCAGTCTTCTGCTTGGTCAGCTTCAGATCTTTTTTAACTGCCTCAATCTGCTCCTGTAGAGAAAGATCAAGAGAGCTGAGCTGAATTTACCCTAGTTACATGGGAATTTAAACTTGTTGAGGTAAACATCTCATCTTCAACAACTGACTAATTATGCATTTTTATCTGAGTTCCAGCTGTTTCTTTAGTTAATTACCTCTAATTCTTCCTTTAACTTCGTTTGTTTCTCTTTAGCGTCATGGATGTAGGCCTCCAAATGCTCATTTCTTGCCCTCAGTGACTCCAAGTCTCGTTCCTTATTCAGGATCTTAGCTCGCAAAGAGAGAAATATGCAGTATTTTTTAGGAGTCCTGATGTTTATAAGCCAAACGCACTCAAAACCATTTCACAAATTCATACCCAAACACAGTCAAGAATTCATGCTTAAAGTCACGAAAAATTATGACTTGGTTTAAACTTACCACATTTTTTTTTATTTGGAAAAATAAGTTTATTTGCAAAAGCTTATTTTTTCCACAACAAAACTTACTGAAAACCAGTAATGAGTGAGGTTTTGTTATTTAGCAGAGTTTTTAAATTGCGTGAAAGTAAAAGGTATGGCTAAAGCTTAAGATCGCATAGAGACAATGAGAAAAAAAAAATATTGCAGATTAAATATGTGAATAAAATAGTTATACTCACATCTTTTCTATAAGCAGTAATTTCCTCTCTCAGAGTCCGAATGCTTTGTGCATGCTTGGATGAAGCATCACTCATGTCCTGGAACATTGATCTATACCATGCATCCATATCCTAGATGGAAACATGGTGTGCAGCTGAATCTTTTATGGTAATCACTTTTGTCCAAAGATATATTATTGTGACAGCTGTAATGCAAAATGGAAAGGATGTTGCTGTTGTGAATTACCTGCAGATTCTTAGCAGCAATGCTGTCGTACTGAGACTGAATCTGCATGAGAGCAGAGGAAAGGTCTGGGAGGTTGAAGTTCAAGCCCATCCTTGAAGCTGCTGAATTGATCTGCTGCATCAACTCATCGATTTCCTTCCAGCAGATCACAAACATAACATCACAATTAGACCTTGGTACTTTGTGTATCAATTAATGCTTTAGTTGAGGGATCTGTTACCTGTAGCTCAAGAGTCTTACGACTCTTTTGTCATGCTTTATAAGTTTGGCCAAAGATTGTTTCCAAAAGTAGAGGGAGTAGAAAAATATAGATTTAGCTATTTTCAGTGTATTTTCTAAGTATGCCTGACCACTGTATGTACAGTACTTTTCCAGTTTGGGGTGATTTGTTGATCAGTTAAGATGTTGAAAGAAGATAACTGGCTTTATTGGACTGTAATTATGGACTATGGAGCCAAAAAGGTGAAAAAAATATAATCAATCACAAGAATTTTAGACTTTTATTGTTTCAAAACAAAAAAAACTGTTGTAAAATAAATAAACTTTGTCTATTTATCCAAGGCTTCATGTTGGTCTTAATAAAATCCTGATAAATGACCTGCTTTTATGATAGCGTGACAAATCTACAAGTTTAGGTGATGTGATATGAAAACTGATGCCTTGTGCACTCCAAAACTGTTCTTAATTCTTTGATCCATGTTTCTTTCCAGATAAATCCCAGGTTGGATGATTCCCTCAGACCAGACTGAGACAGTTTTTAGGAATTTTCATTTAATAAATCATCTGTGACTCATTACACGATGAGTGCCAAATTTAATCTATGGACTCATGCATCCAGTGTTTGTTACACAGGCAGATGTATTATTACCTCCTTGTGAACTCCCTGCAGGAAGGTCAGCTCAGCCTCCAGGTTCTCCAGCTGCTTTTCCAGTTTAATTCTGGTTGAAGTGGCTTTATCCACATCCTTGGAGCAGAGTTTTGGGATGTTGGGTAATTCAAACAAATTTCTACTCCAAGCTGGGCATAAACCATCTAAAGAACCCTTTCTTAATGTATTACCGGGCGCAGAGTCTCGATTTGACGCTCTATCTGCTTCCTGGACTCAAGAGCTTCATCATATTTAGACTTCAGCACATCCAACTGGCAAGACATTTCCTCTTTGGCTGCCAAGGATAAATCCTGTAAAGTATGTATGGAAATAAAAAATTTTTTTTAGAAGCTTTGAATAAGCATTTTAGTAAAATGAATGACAAGAAAGATACTAACAAGAACAAGCAAGAATGTATCTATGCTCTCTGAGGTTTAGAAGCGGATTTTTCCTACCCTCTGCTCCTTTATTTGTTCCGCTTCTTTGTTCAGTTCCTTTAGCTGTGATGAATAAAGCTTCCTCAAACCTGCTGTTCTCTCATAGGTGGATTTCAAAGCCTCGATCTCACCCTCTAGCAGTTTGTTCTTGGACTCCAAAGTTCTAACCTAAAGAGGCATTAACAGTAGTTAAAAACCAACTTAAAGATTAATATAAAAAATTTGAAACAAAAAAATGAACATATATGTAAAATTGATAGATTTCTATTTGCCTTTTCAATGTAGGATGCCAGGCGATCGTTGAGGACCACCATTTCCTGCCTCTCATTAGTGCGAGTCAGCTTGAAAGCCTGGTTTTCTGCTGCTGCTGCATCCAGGTCCAAACTTGGCCCATGTCCAGTAGACACATCCAAGCACAACGAGCCCATACTTGCACTGCTGCTGGTGGAAGTGTTAGATGGGTTAGGGTTCTAGCCTAGCTGCTTGTTTACCTTTGTTTAGTAAAAACAAAATGCTTTATGTCGTTACTGATTGACCGTTTCTGCAGAGCTATGAATTATGATGACGAAGACCCACCTGGTCAGACGAGGCTTGTAGGTGAGGGTCCTGCAGCCTGTTACTTTCCACCCCACATTTCTGTTGAAGCTGGTTGACCTGTGGCGAGTTTCTCGTCGGGTAGGAGATGGACTAGACACCCGAAGTTTGTTAACATTTACGCCCTCAAAACAACGACGATATGAGGACATTCTCTCTGGGCTGTGGCTCATCGTGGCTATCTTTAAGAGACACAACTTTTTCTGAATACTTGAAAATGGTCACACACGCTTTCCTCTAAGGGCTGCAGTGAAATGCTCTTTATACCCTTCATGGTCCTTACCTCATCTCTACAAAAATATGTTGAACCCCTCCCAACCCATGCTTGAATCTTCCTACAAACATGTATCAAGTTCATGTCAAATAATTCATACAGTCTATAGACTGTTGACAGAAGAGACCTGTCATGGGGTTAAATTATCCTTCTGACTTCTCTGTAGAGGGTAAAGTCTCTTTAAGTGCGTTAATATGTGTTAAAGAATAAGCATGTTTTTATTAAAGTTAAGGTAAAGAAAAACTAGTCTAACTCATTTGCAACCTAAAAAATCAACATATTTAATGAAAAAGTGGGGTGGTTGTTTGCTAAATTTTATTGGAAAATGTGTGGAATTGAAACACAAGGTCATATTTTTGGAAAGGAAAAAAAAAACAAGTAAACAACAAACAGCATAGTTTGTAGCACTGTTGCCTTGGAGCAAGACGGCCCTGGGTTTGATTACTGGTCTTTCTGCATGGAGTTTCCATGTTCTTCTCTCCTGGTACTCCGGCATCCTCTCACAGTCCAAAAACCTGACTGTTTAGGTTAATTGTCCTTAGGTGAGATGTTGTGTGCATGCTTGTGTGTCTTTGTGTTGCCCTATGATGGACTGGTCACCTGTTCAGGGTGTATCCAGTCTTTCGGATATAAAATGCTGGAGTTACCAGCACCACCACGACCCTGACAGAGCAAGTGGGAGATGATGTATGGAAAACAACAACCAATATTAGCTCAAACATATAAAACTAACTGTCAAGTAAGGTGGTGGAGAGGATTGCTTTACAGCCACATGATTTCGGTGCCTTGCAGTCACTGAATAAACCATGAAGCCATTGCTTTGTCAAGACCATTTACATCCAATAACACAAATAAACTGTGAACTGTTGAGAGAAAAGAACTGTCAGAATTAATGATTAACCTGTTTATTATTTTGTAAAAGCTACTTCCAAATAAGACCTACTGGTCCTTGCTTAATGAAATCTAATATAACTAAGAAATAAGTGCAAACTGGAGTTATGACGTGGAGTTATCTTTAAGTCTTGCACAGTTTAAAAGAGGTGTAATATGTATGGCATGATGGGAAGAAGCGACACAATGGGAACTATTCCTTTTCTTTTATGGTATTTGTCAAGCCCACTGGTAAATTGTTTTAAGCCACAAGACTTGAGTCCATGAGCTCATCAGTGTACAAATGGAAACTCTAGAAGATAATAATGGATTTTAAATTGTAAAACATTCTTTGTTTTTAAAAATAAGGACGTTATGGCATCTGCTGTTTTTACAAACCAAAGTTACATTTAATTCACATTTAATAATGCGTAGATAACTTAATAGAAAAAAAAAACTATTATTTTATTTTCTATTAAGTTATCTTGGACATGTAGGTGCATAACACAACGACTAAACTTAAGTATGATTGTCTAAAACTGATATATTTGTTCATTTCCCAAATTTCATTTAATTAAATTTATTTAAAATTAACGATTAAAATATTGAGTTTCTTTTCAAGCTCTTTAACGTTTCTCATAAAGGCGGAACTAAAAAAAATATATCAAACGATCTCCGGACGGTATTTGATGTTACTCCCGTTGTAGCTAGCAGAGTACTTTCCTTGTTGTATGCGCTCCTTTGTGGGGGGATATTATAAATTATAATTTTCTTTTAGTTTTAATAAAAATTGGCGACATGGCGGGGAACTTCTGGCAGAGTTCTCATTAGTAGGTTTTCCTGAAAATGTTGACATGTTACGTCTTTATTTCGTAGCTGAGTGTCTTTGTTTTTAGGCCTAGCCGTTTTCACGTCTAATCTGACGGCTAATTTCTTGAAAACTAATGCTGTGGTTAAAAAAAATACTTTAAACAATTAAAACACTCAGAGTACAAGTTCAAGCCCTAAACATAAATATATATATATTTTTTTAAGTTGGCAGTAGTGTCGCTGAGCTGTTTGGGGGCTTGGCTTATATGGTCTCTTATATAGTTTTAACCTTGGTTAATAATAATAATATTTTTAATGTTAATTCTATTAATTTTATATATGTCTTTGAAAGTCTGCAGTGGGTTCTGGATAAGCAGGATCTAATGAAGGAGCGCCAAAAGGATCTGAAGTTCCTCACAGAAGAGGAATACTGGAAGCTGCAGATATTTTTCGCTAATGGTATTTTCAATTCAATTAACAGTTCAGGAAAGGCATAACATGACTTTACTGTGTCTGTCTATTTTTAATTCCTTAACTCTTCATATTGAAACCTTTGTATCAGGCTTGCTTGTTTTGTTTTGTTTTGTTCCAAGATATTGCAACAATTTCTTTTTTTTATACTTTTGCCTTTTAGTGATCCAGGCTTTGGGTGAGCATCTGAAGCTCAGACAGCAGGTCATTGCCACTGCCACAGTCTACTTCAAACGCTTCTATGCCAGGTAGGTTTCTATAGGAAGAATGGGGCGATTTTATTACTACTTATATGTGATCTAGTTAAAGAAAGTGCATTCATAAAAACATTTTTCTCTTAATTCCAAAATCTTGTAAGACTTGCCTAAATCGCCCATTTTCTTTCTTACCTCAAAAATTTAAATTGCATGTGGGAAGACCCCGGGCCGGACATAGAATAATCCTATAGATATACGTTTCTACTGCTTCAAAATAACCTGTCTTACCTGAAACATTCTGTACCCAGCAGCTTAGCTGACAAATTGTGCATAGTCTTCCCAATTTAGCACTTGTTGGATTTTTGGAACATCTCAAAGCTGCTGTATTTATACCAAAACCCCTGTTATCTATAGTAGGGCTGCGCGATGCTAGAAAGTTTTGCAATATTGACAAATGTTGGCGGTATCAGCTGCAATATATTACAACCTCGAGAGACTCGCTCAGAGAAAAGCTGCAGTTAGAAAAGTATTATTCTTATTTATTCAAATAAGGAACACAGTCAGATTCTTCAAAAATGTTTCTATCTAATGAAAACCAGCTGATTGTGAGGACTCGTTGATTCTCTACAATCCCTTGCACTGAGCATGCATATAGTGGAGCCGAAAACTCCCTTTTAACAGGAAGGAACCTCCAGCAGAACCAGGCTCGGTCATCTGCCAAAGCCAACTGGGGTTCAAGGAGACTGTAAACATTGAGTTAATGGGCTGAGGCTGATCAAGAGACATCGCAGGTGTTTTAAGTGAAGCTACCAGATTTTTGCTTAAGCTTCATGTATATATAGTTCTTTCCCCCCTTTTTAGCTGTGCTTTTTGTTGCTTGTTCAACTGTTTAATGTTATTTGTGTCTATTATGAGTATCTACTGTTATAAGACTATCCAAATGGCAGCACTACATTAGCATGTAATGTTGCACTTCATAAAATGCAGTTATATCACTTTAGTTATTCCTTGGCAATATGAATATTGCACAAACGGATATTCAAATGAGGATGTATTTACATACTATTAACTCCCACTTTTGTCACCTAATATAAATAACTCTTTTGAACTCAACCCGGGGAATGGCGAAATTTAAATCACATCATTGCTATCAGGTTATCAACTGTACTTTTAAAGAGCCTTGAGAAGAGAATCAGAAATTTTGCTCTTTGTAACTAAATGCTCTTTATATTATACCACATCTGTAGCATCTTACATATTTGCTTTAGTCCATTCCCTGCTCAATGTGTGTTCCTTACGTCTTTGCTGCCTGGCAGAAACATTAGCAATCTCCTATTTTCCTTTTCTCTCTCTTTTTTTCTTTTTTTTCTAGGTATTCTCTTAAAAGTATAGATCCTGTGCTCATGGCGCCAACCTGTGTTTTTCTGGCCTCTAAAGTTGAGGTGAGAATTTTTCAGAGGAAAAAAAGTGTATGCTCTCTTTATTTTATCACCTAAGGATAAAAAAACAAAACTAAGCCTTATTTCTGTTCATTGTTTTTCCAGGAATTTGGCGTGGTGTCCAACACCAGGCTGATTTCTGCTGCAACATCTGTTTGTAAGGGACCTTGTTTAATCAAGATCAACAGAACTGTTTTGTGTTCTCCTTTATATGAGGATTTCTGTTAACATTCTGTGTTTCTCAAACAGTGAAAACCAGGTTTTCCTATGCCTTTCCAAAGGAGTTTCCCTACAGAATGAATCATGTAAGTAAAATACTACTTCCTTAATTTGATCTCAGAACTTTGAGTAAACAGTAGCTGATAAACCTGCAGATGTTTTAAGCTCATATCCATTTGGTATTTCAGACTGGAGAATTTTATTTATTTCTTTAAGTCATAACTCAAATCTTCAAATGACTCTATTATCGTCAACATGGTAGATGAGAACCAAAAATATGCATTCAGCAGCTTCCTTTGCTGTGTTATTTATGTACTGTTTAAGCAGCTTACCAAGAACCTCTTATACTCTATCAAAGTGTCGCTACGGTATTATTCATCAATACGTGACATTCCACAGCTAATGTTGGCACTGATGTGATAAAAACTCATTAAGCTTAGCTCCTCGTGCGAAGGTCTGTTCACCTCTCTATAGCCAGCATGGAGTTACCAAAACGTCAGCAGCACTGTTTTGACAAACTGCTGCCTTAGCTATAAATTAAAACAACAAAAGGAGGGAGTGGTTCATACAGCGCAGAATGAGTTAGCACAGGACTGTGACACGTAAACATATTTTTTCTTGTCTACATTATGGACATAGTAAAAGAGATCGATGCAGGTGTCTGGGGCCTGTTTGGAGGTAAAGAAAATAGTTCTCATCTCTAGAAGGTCACTCTCTCAAAAAGGCAGCTGATGGAAATAATGTAATAAAAACTCTTGCAGGATTTAAAGAAGACAAAAATACTATGATGTGTAAAAGCTCCTCAATGTAGTGAATTTAAAAACAACATAGAAGTTCAAACCCCAAGCTGAAAATATTCCTGAAGGTTTCGGAGCAAGTTTGGTTTAAAGTTAAATCTCAGGGGTGATTCCAGTCTTGCATTTCTAGACTGTCATATTCTTTAATGTTCATGTTTTTCCATGATAGCCACTATTAAAATAATAACACTGACAATAACATTAGCCGTGCAACATTTCCTTATCGTACATTTTTCTTTTACAAAGGCAACACATCAGATTTAACAAACATTAACTTTAGTAAAGGATCCTCGTAAATGTGATGTCCTCCACTTGTGCGTAAGTGAGCACGTGATTCAGAGAAATGCAAATCTTCATAATTACTGGAGCTGCCACTAACGACTGTTTTTCTAACGACCAATCTTTCGACTATTTTTTAGATTAGTCGGCTAATCTTAACAACTAATTTGAAAAAGAAATCCCCACTGCTGGGGCTTAGCAGATGGTGACACCAGTTTAAAAAAAAGTTGAATTCGTATTGTCTGTGTCTGCTCATTCGATAAACCCTCTGTCTTAAGTCTGGTGCCGTCTCAAAAGCATAATAGATACTGCGCTTGCATAGGGTTGCTCAACGTTGTTTACCAAAAACATTACCAAAGAGTCGAGAGGGGCTACTTAACATCCAAAGAAAGTGGGCCATCATACTTCTCAAGATTGATAAAAAGCACATGCTAACTAGGTGTTTAAACACATATCAACATACATGCTAATTTCCTTTTAAGAAGCATCTTCAACATCTCCTGTGTTTCCTTTTAAGGTGCTTGTGCATCGTGGTTGTGCTCCCGCAATAAGCCAGTTAAGACTTACTGAGTGTACAAACCACTCTGTCACCGGCTTCCTGAAAGTATCTCTATACTTTGGATACTTCTAACAGATGACTCCATCTTCGATTCAGACTGACCTGCCGCTGCCATTTTCTCATCACACTCAAAACCAGAACCAACAGTAACAGAAGCTCGTGACAGGAGAGGAAAAGGGAGTCAATGTGCCAGCAGTGTGCGTACAGCAAAACTAGTGCTGTGGAGTAGAATTACTTGAACTCAGATGAGCCGTTTGCTCAGATCAAAATATATATGTGATAAACAGGCTGACAAAAAAATTAATCATCTGATGTTAACGAAAACTACTGATGGAGGCAAGAGGTGCAACATATGATGTTAATCAGTAATATAGGGCTGGGCGATAATTCAATAACGATATATATCGATCGATAGACGTGTGGTGCAATAGAAAAAAAGCGGGTCGATAAAAGTTCGATAAAAAAGAAACGCAGTTTTCCTTCCTTCTCATTGTAGCCTAGCATGTAGGTTTATGCTAGTCACTACTTCCTCCCAACCAATCACAATCGCGTACCCAGGCACACCGGCACAAAGCGCCGCCCTCTCAAAC